GGGGGTAGGGGTGACATGCATACACGGCCCCCGATCCTCCGCGGGCAGCCAACTGCCGCACGACGCGCGGTCTCTGCGAAAACATTAGCACCAAGCACCGCAGACGAGCATCAGATGTTCATGTTTGGCTTTGCGTTTGTCCGCAACCGCCCGGGGGCACCTGAAACGGAGCATCTCAAATCCGGAAACGAACAGATTAATCAATGAGGGTTCATAGTTTTCGAACTGCGCGTGGGTTCCAAGGGGCCTGTCTTGAGCCTCCAGAGGCCCATGATCCACTCCTCCACTTCGGGAGTTGCCCATATGGGCAGCGGCGCAAGCGTGAGCCTCTGGCAGCTCATTGCGCGCGCAGGCCCGCGCGGTAACGCGCCGCCAGCGCAGCGGGGGAGTCCTCTGGCGCCAGCGACCATCCCTTGAGGGAGGGCTGGATGTCCCTCATCTTGTTCTGCATCGCGATCTCGTCGCGCTTCGTAGCCTCGCTGGTGAAATTGCTGGCGAATGAGTGCTCGAGCGGCAGCGCGCGGGCCGTGCGGATCACCGCAGGGGCCGTCGCGCCGACGCCAGCTTTCGGTGGAAGCGAGAAGCCGACCGTCTTCTGCAAGAGCGTCGCGTACTCCGACTGGAAAATGTCAGCCATGTCACCCCGCGCTTGGGCCCGCGAAGCGCCGTGCTCTGCAGCTGCCACTTTAAGCAGGGACGCCATCTCATTAACGCTAACCCTCCCAGGGGCCCAAACCTTAGCCCAGCAGCCCCTGTCGATCTCACCGCTGAGCGCGGTGGCTTTCAGCGTGACCCCTTTGTAGAAATACCCGCGCACCTGCGAGCCGATCTCCACGGCCAGCGCCTCCGCCTTGGCACGCGAGTTCTCCGCGCGCGCGTTGAGGCCGCCGCGGAACATATCCACCAGGGCAGCGGGCATGCACTTCTCCGTCGCGCGCTGGATGGCCTGGCCCAACTCCCTCGCCAATTTGTCCAAGTCGGCGCGGTTGCCGTCGCAGTCGGCCAGCTTCGCCTCCACGGTCGCCGTCGCGCACTCGAGCCTCCACGCCGACTTCAGCCAGGCACTGAGCCCCCGCAGTCGCGTTTGCAGCCCTCCGGGGAAATCGCTGCGAGCACATCGATCGCGTCGTAGATGCGAGACGCGTCGCCACTACCGAAGCTGAGCTTCTCCGCCGCGTCAGTCGCAATGCTCTGCGACAGCTTGTAGACTCCATTATCGGCTTTCTCGGGCAAGGCGCATGGCTTGCAAGCCCCGGTCGCGTCACGCAGCCCGTGGGAGTGCTCTGCCAGCGCGGGCGTCCAAGCCGCGATGGCCTCGGATAGCATCGACATCGCACGCCCTTGTCCATGCCCTGCAAGGAGTCGGAGAGCTTGCTGGCCAACTTTGCGATCTCTTCGTTGAGCGGGCCGATGTTGTACAACTGCTTGGGGGCGTCTTTCGTTCCATGCATGAGGGCGGTCCTCTCGTCTTCCTCCGCATTAGAGCCCTTCTGCTCGAGCTTCCTCTTCTTTGACTTCAGCAGCTCTTCGTCCATCAGCGAAGCCTCCTTGATGAGGCCAGCGCGCAGCGTCATGCAGATCTGGTCATGCACCTGCTGCTCTCAGTATGGGATCCTGTCGCGCACTGCATTGAGATCCTTGGTAACGGCCTGGATGACCTGGGTGGGCGGCTTCGAGATCTTGCCGATCGCCTCGGCGGTGGCGGGGCAGCTTGCCGGGGTCGTCCTTCAGCCTGTCGTATTGGTTCTTCCAGTACCCACCAAATGCAGAAAACACACATGGGCCAAGAGCCTGCGTGGGCGCGGCGAAGCCCGCGGTGCGCAAAGCCTCCTGCTCGAAACGACTGTGCTCCTGAAAGATCCCGATGTCGGTAGTCTCGTCGATGATTTTGACCAGGAAGCCCCGAAGGGCCCTCATCGCCGCGCGCCCGTCCAGCAGCACCACGGCTGCGCTCTCGCCCAAGTCCGCGTCCTCTGGGAGCTCGGACCACACCGCCCCAGCGACAAGCGAGAACTCCTGAACGAGAACCTCCTTCGACGCTCCCTTTCGCATCCGCTGCCCGATGCCGCTCGCGAGTGTGTACTCCACGAAGAAGTCCGACATCTCGGCGTCGGAGACGCCTGCATTGATGAGCTTGGGGTTGAACGCGTCGAAGCGGTTGGTGGCGCGAGGGTCTGCCCATACTTTCAGAACCCCATGTTGCTGCTTGGCCAAGACCTCGATCTAGGCAGCGTCATTCACCAAAAAGAGCTCTTTCCACAGGCACTCCACGCGGCGTTTCACCAAACTGCTAGCGAGCTTCGGCGTGGGACGCATTCCAAACTTAGTAAATGGCTCCCAATGCTCTCTGAGCACCTGGTCGGTCAAGGAGTGGTTGTTGCACATCCTCTTCGCGTGCTCCACGAGCTCCACGTGGACGCGCAGGCCGTTCCGACGCGTGCATCTGACACGCTTCAGCCAAAATGGCTATGGATGAGGAGGAGGAAGAGGAGGAGGACAC